AAAAAAAAAAAAAAAAAAAAAAAAAAAGACAAACATCAAGACCACTTGAAAAATTACTATTTATTGATGTTACAACTTATTTTTTTCTTTATTTCTTATTTAAGATATAAGAGAAAAAAAAAAAAAAAAAAAAAAAATTTTTTTTTTAAAGGAAAAGTTTATGCTTTTATGAGCTTTTATCATTTAAAATATATGGTATATACAAATAAAAAATAACAAATTTTTAATCTTGAAAGAAAATATTATTTTTTTTTTTGTTATTATTAGTCACAGCAAAAATTTAACATATATTGTAAAAATTTCCTAGAATTCCATAAAATTGGATTGTATTTTTTATTTCTTATATGACAAAAAAAAAGTATTAATTTATCAATGTCAAAAAATACTTTTATTGATTTATATTCTAGTTTTTTGTTAATTAGAAAGTTTACTGATTTTTTAACATCCCAATGAAAACCATTTGAAGAATACGAAAAAATAAAATAACAGATATCATTTATATCATAATAATTTTCTATATTATTTAAAAAAGGTTTTTTTTTCAATTTCTCCTTGTCATTTAATTCACTTTTTAATTTTCCATTTTGTATTTTTAATATTAAATGCATATTTATATCATCCTTTTTATTTTTATATATATGAGTATTTTTATATCCATCATTCCTGTCATTATAATCATTGTCATCTGGCTTATAAGTATAGATATTACTTACGAAAACAAAACGATCACATACTTCATTTTTTAAAATTTTTGTTATAAATTCTTCAGAATACAATAAATGATATTCTAAATTTCTAGGGATATTATATTCATATTTTAAATAAAAAAATATAAATAATAATTCATAATCTCTTATATATTTATTTTTAAAACGATATTCTTTCTCTTTTAAAAAATAACCATTTTTTATATATGAGAAGATAATATCATGAAATAAATGAAAAGAACTATAAAAATATTTATGAAATGTTTTTGAATTTTTTTTTTTTTTTAATGTGGAAAGAAATTCATTTAACTCATTTACTTTATAATTATTCTGTGATTCATCTTTTATTTTTTTATAAATTACTAATTTCATCTTATGTAAATTTTTTATATTTGGAAAATTGTTAAATAAAGTAAAAAATAAATTTTCTGAGTTATATTCTAAGAGAAAAAATATATATTTATTATCTTTATTGTTATTTATCATTTTTTCTTGATATAATTTATAATCTTCAAATATATATGACCCTCTGTTATAAACTGTATTATATGCGTTGGTAACTTTTTTTTCGTATTTTCTATTATTATTATAACATAAAGAACCCTTTTTTATATAACTTTTTGATAATTTCTTATCATTATATAAACTATTATATTTATAAGAAGCAACTTTTTCTTTTAATTTTTTTTTTTTAACTTTTACAATAAGAAAAGTCTCACAAACTATTTCTTCTATTTGTCTATTTTCATACAAATATTCATCATTTCTTTTTTCTCCATATATAAGATGAAAACTTTGTATAGTACTATTTAACCCATTTTGATATAGAAATTCTATTAATTCATTCATTTCTTCTATTTTTAATTTTCTATTAAAAAAAAAATCTAAATTCTTAATACACGAATTACTAACTTCCTGAAAATTATTTCTATGCGTATTTAAATTCTTCTTATTATTTTGATTATTATTAATGTCATTATAATTACTATTATTATTACCAGAAGTGGTAGAATTATTATTATTATTATTACTTATCTTATTAATATTATTATTATTACTAGTAGTAGTAGTAGTAGTAGTAGTGGTAGTAGTGGTATTAATATTATTATTATTATTATTATTATTATTATTATTATTATTGTTATTACTATTATTATTATTAGTAGTAGTAGTAGTAGTATTATTATTATTATCATTATTTATATCATTGTAATTACTATTATAATTATTTCTTAATTCATTTAGTAAATGATTTTCATAATTTTTTATTGTTGTAATATTTCTACAATTTACACATCTTATCTTTATATTTTCATATTCACTTCCTAAAAAATTTATACTTACATTTTCTAATTCAACATATTTTATATTGTTTCTACACATAGGGCAATAATCAAATTTCTTTAAAACTTTTTCTATACATTCCTTACAAAATATATGTGAGCATTTTGTTTTCACTGGCTTATATAATATTAACATACATATAGGACAACGAAAATGATCGTAATTCTTTTTTTTTTCAATTAATACTATAAATCGTTTATCTTCTATTATTTTTGATGGTAAGCATTTATCAATTAATATATCAAATTTTCTTCTTATATTTAATCTAATATTCCTTATATAATTATCATCAAGTTTAATGTCATTAAATATATTTAATAAATTATACCTTATATTATCTAATCTACTTAGAAAAGATCCAAATATATATTCACTCATTTTATCATAATGAAAAAAAAAAAAAAAAATTAAATATTCTTTAAAGAAAATAAATAAATAAATATATATATATATATATATATATATATATATATATATATATATATTATATAAGTAAAATTAAAAAACAAACAAAATTTAAAAAAAAAAAAAAAAAAAATAATAATAAAATATAATTATAGTTTTTTTCTTTTACAAAACTAATAAAATAAAAAAACAAACAAAATTTACAAAAAAAGAAAAAAGAAAAAAAGAGAAATTACATCACTATATAAAAAAAAGGAAAAACAAAAATTAAACTAAAATTATTTTTTTATGTACTTAATTTAATTTATTTTTTTCTTTTTTCACAAAATTCAAATAATTTCAAAAAAAAAAAAAAAAAAAAAAAAAAAAAAANAATAAATTATATATATATATATATATATATATATATATTATATAAATAAAATTAAAAAACAAAAAAAATTTAAAAAAAAAAAAAAAAAAAAAAAAAAAAAACAAATATTCATAAAGGGTGAAAAATAAATTCCATTGTTTTTATTTAATTTTTTTTTTTTTTCATTTTTTTCAACTTGAAATGTTAGAAATTATTGGATGTTATTATAAAACAGCAAAGTAAAATGCATCTAATATGTTTAACTGGTTTTATATTGGTATACATCTTTAAATTATATTTTGTAAATAGCAAAAAAATAATAGCACTAAACAACCATGTAAAATTAATACCTATAAAAAATGAGCTTTATGCTAAGAAGTATAAAGTATTAAAAAAACTAAATTTTATTTTTAAGAAAAAAAATAAAAACAAATATGAATTGAAAAATTTAGAAAATATTCCTTTATTTGTAATAACTAATGAATTTGACGAAATTATATTATCATTTAATTTAGATGATGAAAATGAGAAAAAAGAAAAAAAAAGAAAGATTGATTTTAATGAAAATAGTGATTATCTTTATGACATAGTATGGGAAAGGGATACCTTTTTATTTCCTCTAATTAAAAATAAAGAAAAAAGAAGAAAAGAAATAAACTTGGATAATATACATAACAATAATTGTATAAGTATTTTTTTTTTTGATATGAAAACTGCTGAAGCTTACAAAGATGATATATTATATTTGTTTAGTAAAAATTTAATGGAAAAAAAAAAAAATAAACTATTTTTTGGGTCAAAAATAAAATTAACAAATTTAGAATATTTTTTCAAGATTAAAAATTCTTATAAATCTAAAATAGATTTTGTTTTAATACCTAATTATAAAGAACTTCAAAATGTTTTAAAAAATAAAAATATTTTTTATGGAACACCAATTTATTATATAAATAGAATTAAGTTACATAAATCTTTTATAAAAAAAAATTTTTATGAATTATTTTATAAAAATCTAAAAAAAGAAACAAAAATTGAGTTATCTCCTAATATTTTCATAACATATACTATTGAACAAGAGGAAAAATCTAATTCGTTAATTATACAATTAGAAACAGAAAATAAAAAATATATACCTATTTTTTTTTCTTATAAACAAGCTATTCATTTTTATAATATTTTTTTAAAATATTTTAAAAATAATTTTACTGATTATTGTCTTCCAAAACCACACATAGTTTTAAATTCCTTTGAAAATATATTAATTCTATCAAAATTTGCTAATGATAAAAAAATTGATAAATTCTACAACCTATTTTTTATTCCTAATGATTTTTCTTTTTATGAAAATTTATGTTCTAATAATTATAATGCTTTCACTTTTTATATTAAAAAATTTTTTCAAAAAATTAATTATGATTTATTTAGATCTTTCAGAAAAAATTTAAATTATTTAATATCAGATTATATATATGAATAAATAAAAAAGAGGATAATAAAAAAAAAAAATAAATAAATAAATTTTAAGTATTATGAGAATATATATAATTTTTTTTTTAAAAAATTAGAGGAACACATTCTAGTTAAAACATTCTATAAAAAAATTTTTAATAAATCATGGGAAAAATATAAATAGTTATAAAAAAATAAATAAATAAATAAATATATATATATATATATATATATATATATATAATATAATAAAAAGATACTCTAACAATATTATAAATAATAATAGAACATATAATAAAAATTAAATTGTATGTATGAAAAATAATAAATATTAAAGAATATTTAAACCTTCTATTATATTTTTCTTATATAATCAGTTAATTCTTTATTAATTAATAACAAATTTTAAGAACTATATTTAATGAATTATATTTTTTTTTTTTTATTGTTTTCTTATTTTTATTTTATTTTATTTTATTTTTTTTTTTTTTTTTTTTTTTTATATTAAAGAAAAAAAAAAAAAAAAGTAATAAATTCTCAATGTTTTTAAAGTCTTTTTAAATTTTTGTAAAAAATATTTATTTTTAATTGTTAATATTTTTTATAATCTTAATACATTTTTATCAATTTTGTTTTTTTAAGTATAAAAATTTTAAATAAAAATATAAATATTCAAAATATATTTTCGTATTTTACCCCTTTTCGTATAAATATAAGGCTATTAATATATTTATACCCTTTTACATCAATTTATAAAAAAAATAAAAAATATAAAATTGTTTTGATTATTAAAAAATATTGGATAATTAATATTAACTCGATTACATGCAATATGTAAAAAAGAAAAGTAAATTAAAAAAATTAATTCCTGTTTTTTTTTAAAGTGGTATCATGAAAATTGTTTTCTTTGGTGCTCCAGGAGTTGGTAAAGGGACATTTGCTGAAATTTTATCAAAAAAAGAAAAAATAAAACATATTAACATTGGAAATATTTTAAGAAATGAAATAAAAAAGGAATCAAATTTAGGTAAGGAAATAAAAAAAATAGTTAAAAGTGGAAATTTAGTAGAAGATAATTTAATTGTAAATATTGTCGATGAAGAAATCAAAAATTCATTAAATAAATACAAAGGATTTATATTAGATGGATTTCCAAGAAATATTTTACAAAGTAAAGAGTTAATTAAAATTACAACTATAGATTTATTTATTAATATATATTTGCCTAAACATATATTAATAAAAAAATTATTAGGAAGAAGATTATGTAATATATGTGATAATAATTTTAATGTTGCAAATATTCAAGAAAATGAATTTGATATGCCACCAATTCTACCATCAAAAGAATGTAATACTTGTAATGGTAATGCAAACTTAACTAAAAGAAGTGATGATAATGAAGAAGTAATTAAACATAGGTTAAACTCATATGAATCTATATATTTACCTATTATTAATTTTTTTAAAAATAGTAATTACACCATAATAGATTTTGAACTAAAAAAGGGCATAAAAGACTTTGACCGCTTATATAATATTATTTTAAAATATTTTTAATATTTCCATTGTAACAATGAAAAAAAAAAAAAAAAAAAAAACTTTTAATTTTTTTTTTTTATCATATTTAACATTTTTAAGAGTTGTGTAAAATTTATTACATTAATATAAGAAAAAAATTATTTTTTCTTAGAAATAATTTAAATATTACTTTTTTTATTTATTCTTTATAAATTTGTCATTTTTTTTTTTTTTTTTTTTCCTCTTTTTTAATTTAGAATGATCTTTCAATAAAATATTTTTTATGAACGTTAATTAATTAATAGCTAATTTAAAAAATGTATTGTTATATATAAATATATTTATGATTTTTTTTTAATTTTAAAATATTCAAATTAAGATATATATATATATATATATATATATATATATATATATATGTAATGAAAAAAAAAAATAATTTAAATAAAATAATAAAAATGATAAGAAGATTAGGTCAACATTAATAAGATACAATAATATTTTATAAAGTAATTAAAAATTATATATTTCTTTTACTATCTTTCTTAAATTGAAAATTAGATAATTTATCATTTTTATTTCTATAACTCATTAAATGTTGTACATTTGGATATAAAGTTACTGCTGGTTTTAAATTTACAAATTTATTATTTTTTTGATCATTTGGATATAATGTGTAATTAGTTGATCTCCTTTGTTTAACATTTCTATCATAATATGTATTAAAATTATTAAATTTTCTTTTTTTTGTTGTATTATAACTTGCTAAATTGTCTAAAACTGCTGGTCTATCTTCATCATAAAACTTATTTCTTTCATCTCTTTTTTGAACTCCAGTTTTCCCTCTCCCATATTTTCTCCTTCCTATAATTCCTAAATCTTCATCAACTCTTATTATCCTTCCATCTAATATTGAATTATTAAGAAAATTAACAGCTCTTATATATCCTTCTCTTTTTTTATAAATTACAAAACAAAAACCACAAGGAGACTTTTCTTTTCTATGTAATCCCATAATTATATCTTCAATATCACCAGACTTACTCATATGCTAAAAAAAAAAAGAATATATATATATATATATATATATATATATATATATATATATATTATTAAAATATTATTCTATGCATATTTATCATTTTAACTATTATAATCACTCCATTTAAAAATTATTATATTTTTCTTTAATTATATATATATATATATATATAAATTATAAATGTTTTTTTTTTTTTTTTTTCTTATATCAGAACAGTTTTAAAAATTAATAAGATGCATATTATTAAAATTCATATTACAAAGTCATTTGAATTTACCTCATAAATCTGTTGTTCAGTTGTATATATGGATAAATTTCCAATGTAAACTGTTTTTGAAAATTGTATTTTTTTTAACCAATCATCATAATCATTACACAAAGATCTATCATAATATTTTCTTTTCTTATTAACTTCTTCATATAAATGAGCCATATTTTAAAATATAATTTTAAAAATAACTTTAGATTTAAATTATAAATTCAAAAAAAAAAAAATAGTTCTTTTATTTTAAAAAAAAATAAAATTCTTTATTAAAGATGAAAACATTAACTAAAACTAAGTAAATAGGTTAATAATAAGATCAAAAAGATAAAGGAAATATAGCTAAAAAAAACTATTAAACGAAAAAATAAATAAAAATATGCAAAAAAATACAATAAATATATTAAATAAATTGTAAACAAAAAAAAAAAATTATATACGAAAAAATAAAAAGTTATTTGAATTTCCTATTTAAAAAAGAAAATATAAAACAAAAGCTGATATTTTTAAATGAAGTGAAAATATAATATTTTATTTATATATATATATATATATTTAATATATATAATCCTTTAAAATAAGTTTTCATTATTTTATATAAAAAATTAGAATTACTAAAACTGTAAAAGCGTTAAAACAAAATTTTTTTAAACAAAAATAACATTTAAATATGTACAGAAAAAAAAAAAAAAATATATATATATATCTATGCTTTTTTATTAAATTGTTTTTCAGTGATATGAATTATTATTTAAACATTTTTAAAATTATTAGTAAAATTAAAAATTTATAGAAAATATATTAATTGTTATATGTTTAAAACAAGTATAAATATAATAATTTTTAGTATTAACAAATAATTTGTTTTTTTCTTTATTATTTAAATAAAACAAATATTAAGGTCTATTATTTATTACAATAATAATAAAAAAAAAAAAAAAAAAAAAAGATTTTGTCAAATTATTAAAAAATATATATATATGTTTATAACATATTTTTTAATTTTTTTATGAAAAAAAAAAAAAAAAAAAAAAGGAAAAAAAAAAAAACTCTAGTTAAAATTATATGTGTGGAAAACCTTAAAAAAAAATATATTTTAGTAAAATAATAAAGTTTTATAACTTCTCATATACCATATTATGCATAAATAATTTATATAAAGAGTAATTTGTACTTTATTCTTAAAACTAAAAAAATACAATGAAAAGTATATCAATAAAACAATTGGAAGCAATAGTAATATTAGATACAGATGGAAAAAGAATTGCAGTAAAATATTACAATGATAAACTATCATTTAAAGGAGAAGATAAATTAAATAATCTTATTAGTAGTAAAGAATCAATAAATTATAACTGTGAAGATATATATAATAATTTTAAAACGGTAGAAGATCAAAAATTATTTGAAAATGATATAACAGAGAAAGTTAAAAAATTAGGTTTTAACTCTAATGAAGTTGAAATTGTTATTTTAAATAAATATATAATTCTATGTTTACCAATTAACGATGTAAATATTTATATTATTGGTGATGAAAATGACAATGAAATCATCCTACATGAAATTATACAAACTGTTGAAAAAGCATTAAATAATATAACAAATAATCAAATAGGAAAGAGACAACTAATTGATAAATTAGATTCTGTTTATTTAATTTTAGACGAAATTGCAGATAGTGGGATAATAATGGAAACTAATCCTAATGTAATTATTAATAGATTATATATGCATGAAGGAGATCTACAAGAACATACACCGCTTAATCAAGCAATTTCATCAGCTAAAGAAAATATAATTAGAAGCTTACTAAGTGGAACATAAAAATTTATTACATCAAAATTATATATATATATATATATATATATGTTAATCAAAAAAAATTATCATACCATTTTATTTTTTTTTTAAGTGTTCAAAATTTTAACTATAACATAAAAAAAAAAAAAATATGTTTTTTATAAATTATCTTATATTTATTACTTATAATTTGTATATTTTTTGTACTTCTATTTTCATTTTTATTTTTAATAAATATTAAAAGTGATAACAAAAAAAAAAAAAAAAAAAAAAAAAAAAAAAAATTTTTTTTTCTTTATATAGAACAAATAATGTCTACTACTTATTTCATATGATTTAAGTAACATTTATTTTTAAATTATAATTACATTTTTTTTTTTTTTTTTTTACAAATATATTTTTTTACTATATACATTTATAAAAATTATCTGTTTGTTTTTATATACCCCATAATTATTTTTTTTTTTTCCCTTTCTTGAATGTATATATCTATTCAATTTATAAATTTTTCCGCACATATTTTTTTCACTAAAAAATCTTTACATATTTTTTCTTTTGTTCCATCAAATATATTACTATTTAATTTTATTTCGTAATATTTAATAATTCTTACTTAAGGTATACAAAATTGAAAAATGATACTTTGAATATGAATAATTGTAAATTTATGTTATTTAAAAATATTATCTTTTAGATTTTCTTTTTCTTTATATTTTTAATTTCTTCCATATCTAACTTATGTTTTTTTTGTTCTTTAGTTTGGTACTCATCGTTGTTATCTATATTTTCTTTATTTTTCTTTTTTTTATTAAAATTTTTTTCACTTTTCATATCTTCATTTAATTTATATTCCAATTTACATTTTGTGTCTTTTATACTTTTATCATAATCTTTTGCTTTTTTTTCTTCATTTTCAGATTCTCTTGGTATTTTTATATTGTCAACTATATCTTTTTCATTGTTTTTTTGCTTTCCTATTTCTTTATCTTTATCTTCTTCATTATTTTTCCTTTTCTTTTTATGAACATCTTTTTCTTTATCTTTTTCTTTATATTTTTCTTTATTTTTTTCTTTATCTTTTTCTCTATCTTTTTCTTTATCTTTTTCTCTATCTTTATCTTTTTCTTTATTTTTTTCTTTATCTTTCTCTTTATTTTTTTCTTTATTTTTTTCTCTTTCTTTTTCTCTATCTTTTTCTCTTTCTCTATCTTTATCCTTTTCTTTATTTTTTTCTTTATCTTTATCCTTTTCTTTATTTCTTTCTCTATTTTTTTCTTTTTCTTTTTCTCTTTCTTTCTCTCTTTCTTTTTCTCTTTCTTTCTCTCTTTCCTGTTTTCTTTCTTTTTCTCTTTCTTTATTTTTTTCTCTTTCCCTTTCTCTTTCCCTTTCTCTTTCCCTTTCTCTTTCCCTTTCTCTTTCTCTTTCTTTTTCTCTTTCTTTTTCTCTTTCTTTTTCTCTTTCTTTTTCTCTTTCTTTTTCTCTTTCTCTATTTCTTTCTCTCCTTCTATCTCTCTCCCTTTCTCTATCTCTATAAATATCTTTACTTCTATTTCTATAGCTTTTTTTATACCAGTCTCTTTCTCTACTCCTGTAACTTATTTTATCTCTATAACTATCTGTATTATATGCATTTCTATAATTATACATGTATTTTCTTTTTTCATCTATTTCTCTACTTTTTCTAAGATAACTATTACTTCGTTTAACCCTTTCTAAATCATCGTATTTCCTTTTATCTTTTTTTTTTTCATCTCTTAGTCGGCTTCTGTAACTTTGACTATGATTATCATTTTCTTTTATTTTAAAATCATAATATTTTGTTTTTCCTATGTTATTTTTCTCATTTTCTTTTGCATTTTGATCTTTTTTTTGTTCATTAATTAAATGACTCTGATGAAACCCTGCTGTTCCTTCTTTTGAATTATCACATGATTTCCTATTAATATTTAATTCATATTTATCATGATTCCCAATATGATTATTCCCTTTATTAAAGTAATCACAAAATGTTTTTATACTTTCTTTATTATTATCTATTTTTTCTGATCCTTTTATACAAATCTTTTTTTCAATATTTCCTGTTTCATTTTTATTTTCTAATTCTCTTTTTTCAATTTCCATACTTTTTTTCAAATTTTCTGATTTCAATTCTTTATTTGATTCTCTATGAATATTATCTGATAAAAATTAAAAAAATATTTGTATGTATATAATTTAATCTGAATGATAAAAAATTAATATATGAAAACAAAAATTCTAAATTAAATGATACAATAAATGTTTTTACATATATAATTAAAAAAATAATATATTTATATATATATTTATTTTTATTTTTTTTTAATGAATATTTTTTTAACCAGAAGAAAATGGAATCTTTTCCAAAGTAAAATTTTGAGAAGAAACTGAATGAAGAAGTTGTTCATTGTATTTATTAAAAAAAAAAGCTCTTCTATAATTTCCTACATTTAAAAATCTAAAATTTTCTTGATTTTTTCTATAACTTATTTTAGAAGAATCTCTCTTTTTATAATTTTTTGTCATAAAACTATGTGCAGCTCTTATATTATTTCGTTGATGAATTTTTTCTGAAAAAGGGGAAATTTTAAACCATGGATGATTAAGAGCATCATTTGCAGTTATTCTTTCAAAAGGATTCCATTTCAAAAATTTTTTTAAAAGATCTAATCCTAAATCACCAACACCAGGTATACTTCTAATAGAATTTTCTATTTCTAACTTTTTGTTAAGATTTATATTATTAATATTGTTTGGATGAATAGGATTAAAATTTAAAGAATTCCAGTAAGGTAAATTTTTTAAATATTTTAAATCTTTATCATTAGGAAAACCAATTTTATTAACAATCATTTTTAAAATATCTGATTCATTATCGGCAGAAAATAAAGGATTACTAGTTAACAATTCAGCTAAAACACAACCACAACTCCACATATCAACAGAGGATAAATAATTTTCTGATCCTAATAATAGTTCAGGGGGTCTATACCATAATGTAATTACTCTATTAGTCATATTAGATGAATTAATATCCGAATGATATCTAGCCAAACCGAAATCAGCTAATTTTAATACTCCATTCTTATCAATTAGTAAATTAGCTATTTTTATATCTCTATGTATTATATTATTTTTATGACAATAATCTAATGCTTTTAATAATTGTATAAATAAATTTTTAATTTCCCCTATAGTAAATAAATTACCACTCTTATATCTATCCTTTTTTTCTCTTTCTTCCCTTAATACTTCACTATAACCTGATAAATCAAAAGGAACATACTCAAAAACCATCCATATAGAAGATTTTTTTTCTTTTTTTTTTTCAAAAGATTTGTAAGAAGACAAACTATAAGAAGATGAAAAACTTGATGAACTTGATAATGAATCCAAAGAAGAATTTAATGAGGAATCTGATGAAAAATTTGATGAAGAATATGATGAAAAATGAGAATATAATGTAGAATCTAAAGAATTTCTTCTTTCCCTTTTTTTTTTTTTTTTTTTTCTTCTTTTAATTATATTAGTATCTTTTTCATTTACACTGTGTAAATTATTACCTTCTTCTGAATTATTCTTTGATACCACTTCATTTATTTTTTTCTCTTTTTTTGGATGGTTGTCATAATTTATTTTTTTTTTATATTCTGTACAAATGGAATACTGTTTTTGAATATCTTCATCAAAAGGCATTTTTGAATGAACAACACCAATTAATTCAACGATATTCTCATGTTTTAAAGAATTTAAAATGGATATTTCTCTTATATAGGTTTTAGCTAAACCTTCTTTATCTCCATTTAATTTTAATTTTTTTAAAGCTACTCTCTTATTATTTGTAATATCTTCAGCCATCCATACATCACCATAAGCTCCTTGTCCTACTTGATGAACTTTAACAAAATTTTTTACTTTTAATTTAATTTCTCCTTTAATTGAATTTAATAAAAAATCAAATGTTACTTCATTTTCTTTTCCACATTCTATTTTTGTATCTTTTGAGTTTACATTTAGTGTAACATCTTTTTCGTTTACTAATGTGTTATTAGAATCCTTCTGGGAATCTAATACTAAATTATCTTTTTCATCTAAATTATTAATATTATGGATAACATAATCATCTTTCTTTAATGAATTGGCTTTATTAATGTTTTTCAATGAATTTGTAATATTTTTATTTATATTTCGTGAATTATTTATATAATTTTTTTTGCTTATGTTAGTAATATATTCAATTTCATGTATATATTTTTTTTCAGTGGTTTCATTATTATAACCATTATTTATCTGATTATCACTTTTTTCACTTAACAAGAGGCTTTCATCATTTTTTAAATTGCTCTTTTCAAAATAAAAACTATCACTATAATTATTTATTACAGTATGTCTATCCTCTAATGTATCATTTTCATCATTTTCAATATGCTTATATTGCTTTTTGTGAATATTTAACAATTCCCATAAAGCTATTTTTTTTGACCCTTCAAAGTATTCAATTTTCTCATATTCTTTTTTTATCAATATACGCAAAATATCTTCTATGATTTCTTTATTTTTGCATTTATTTGCATTAAGTATATTACAAGTTATATAAATATTCCATAGTTTATTAATTTCTTTATTAATATTATCAAAACCTTTATTTTTATAATTATTTACATCTATATTATTCCATAAAATGTTTTCTAAATTTATATTATCAGGTAAATTGCATCTAAAATTATTTAATTCATGTTGTTCATGTAATTTATTTGAAATTATTCTTTTCTTTATTTTTCTATCTTTTTTATAACTAAAATTGTTAAAATATTGTATATAATTTAAGAAAAATTCAATATCATTATTATTTTCTCTTAATTTATCATATATTTTAATAGCATCTTTATCATCTAAATTATCAATGATTTTTTCAAAATTCTTCCATATTCTTTTCTTAATTTCCTCTTTTTTTATAATATAAAAATCATAAATTAATTTCCTTTTTAATTCTGAAAAGTTAGACAAAAAAGAGGGATTTCCTAATTTTTTTAGAAATTCCTTTCTTATATCTAATTCAAGAGTATCATTTTCTAAAAAAAAATTTTCTCGTCCTGAACAGAAATGCTTACCTGGACCTCCTCTAAATATATCAAGAAAAAAATCCTCTTTAAAAGTATTCATTTTTTTTTTTTTTTTTTTTTTATGTAAACAAATTAAAACTTCCTCACAAAGTTTTAAACCATATTAACATATTATTTTCCATAAAGAATTTTTAAATAGTTAATATATCAAAAAAATACTATTCTTAATTATTATAAATATATATATATATATATTCTTAATTTATCTTTATTCTTATTATAAAATAACAAAAAAAAAAAAAAAAAAAATTTAGATAACTATTTCTTAATTTATTATTTAATATTTATAAACATGATATATTTAAAAAATAATAAAATAATCAAATTCAAAAAAATAAATAACTATAAAAAATAATTTGTATTAATTTTAAACTTGTTTTAAACAACAAATCAATTGTGATTAAAATAAATATATATAATCAAAGTTAATAAAAAAAAAAAAAAAATACTTTTAAAAAATTTACCTATTAAACACTTCCTATTAACTTATTTTAAAATAATTTTTCCAGATTATTTAAATTTTTTTTTTTTTTCAAATTTGAAATATATTTCTTTCAAAAAAAGATAAATAATAAAAAAAAAAGAAATTTAAATTATTAATTAAAAATACTATTTTTTTTTTTTTTTTTTTTTCTTATATAATTGAATAATTATATGATTCTCCTGATTAAAAACTGAAGTAAATTTTAAAAAAAGATAGAGAAATTCTTCAACTAAATGTAACATATAATTTTATAAATGAGTATTTTCTAATGATAAAATTAAAGTTTATGGAATATAATGAAAACAAAAATATTACCAATAGTGAATTTTAATTTTCATGAGGTCTTAAATATTTTTTTTTCTAATCTATGTTTACATTATACATTTTAAATATTGTAGAACTCAATTTTTTTCAACACAAATATCAAGCCTTTTTTTTTTTTTTCACGTTGGTGTATAATAAAAAATATAGACTATAAAATATTATTATTTTTACTATTATTCTTTAAAAAAAATTATATAGACTAATAATAATATAAAATAATAATTACTAAACCTTGTATATAAAGTTCTAATAATATATGAAAATTTCCTATATTTTTTTTTTGCTAATTTTTTTTCTTTTCTTAGTATATCTATATATAAATGAACTTTATAAACACTATCTTAAGACATATTGATCAAATTAAAAATGTTTTTTCTTCATCATGAATGTTTCTCTCTTTAAAACACATTTAGTCAAATGTATTTATATATTATTAAACTTACTAGGTCTTTCTTATTGAATTTTTAGAATTACTAAAACATTTTTCATTAATTTATTATATTTAATTTTATTTAAAAGTAATGTATTTTTTATAGTAAAATAATAACTAAAAAAAAAAAAAAAAAAATAATAAAAAGATTATGAATTTTTTTAATAAGTGATTTTTTCTATAAGTCAGTTTTAATTTTTTATATTATTATTTTTACCTTCAAAGCACTTTTAATATTATATATACTTACATATAATAAATCAAATAAGTTGTTTAATAAATTATTTATTCATACTTCTTGATATAAATGAAATATATATATACAGAGAAAAAGAGAAAAAGAGAAAGAGAGAAGGGAAAAGGGAAAAGGGAAAAGGGAAAATAATAAAGATTTAATAAAATAGAATAATTGTATATGTTTTACATTCATTTTAAGTAACACTAGAAAAAAGTAAAAAAAAAAAAAAAAATACTTCTCTTAAAATAATTACAAGAATTATAAAAATAAATATAGTATATATTTTTAATAAGTGAAAAAGAATAAAAAAAAATTAAGATTTAAAAGTAGTTGTTTCTTTAAAAGTTCTAAGGAATGAATATTTTTCAATATTTTTAATTAACTACTCATATATGATTACACATAAAAAGTAATATATATATAAATGTACATATTTATATATATAGTATTATGTATTTTTGATTACATATGTCTTTATTAATTTCTATATTTTTAATACATTTATTAATTTAATTTACTTAAATGGAAACACATAAGAAATTAAAGCTATATACTTCAAGCAGAATATTTACATATAAGGAAAATAAAATTAATAAACTTATAATATTGATAATGATTAATAAAAAGTGAATGAAATCATCTATAAATGAAATAAAGAATAAATTAAATATTTCTAATATTGAAAGTTTATTAAATACTATATCAGAATGTACTTTTTATTTTACTAGACCATATATAACAATACAGATGCTTTTGTTAGTAATTATTAAAGTAAAAGTGTAAAAAAGAATATTTATAAAGTGATATAATAAAAAAAAATAAAAAAAAAAAAAAAAAAAAATCTATAAAATTAAGTAATTAAAAGTCTTATAGCAATATTAAAAGAAATGAATGGTTTTATTTGAAACATATCTATTGTTTATTCATATATGTAGGAATTAAAATTGAGAACAATTGAAAGTATTTCAAAAAAAAAAAAAATATATATAAATATATCAGAAAGTATATTAAAACTTTTAATAATGAAAAAAAAATATATAACAATTAATAAAATTTAGATAAACTGAATATAACTTTAAAAAGACATGAAGAGAGTATTATTGATATTCATTTTAAAAATATTGAAGTAGAAAAAGTCTGAGAAAAAATTAATAGAAAGAACAAATATATTGTTATTACCTAATTAAAGAATTAATATAAATATTTGATAAAGATAAAATTTCAAAATATTTAGATAAATATTTATACTTAATGGTAATAATATAATAATTAATAGATTATTTATAAAGTAATAATTATGGAAACAATTTTTATATTTCAAAAGATGAAAAAAATAGATAATCGAGAAATTTTTCTAAATTAAAAGGAAGAATAAATTAGATTTTACACTATTAGAAATTAAGATAATGCAGATACTTAAATGATAACAAAATTATTTTAGTTTAGAATAATAATTTAACTGATATTCTAAATATTACTATAAATTCTTTAAGAATCATTAAACTCAATCTATATATGCAAATAATTAAACCAAAAAGAGAGAAAATAAAAAGAAAAAATATGAAAAATATAAGGAAAATATCAAAAGATTGATAAAATAAAATAGAAGCATTAGCAGGATAGAGAAAAAACAATGAAAAAAGAAATATAATTGAAAATGATAAAATTATTACTTTAAAAAATAATATAAATATTACTCAAGTTAAATTTAATGAAGTCAAAAAACTAAAAATGTTATTCAAAATTTATTAAATGAAGTTTATCATTAAAAGCAACAAATTTATATGACACTTCACTAGGTAACCAAAAGTTCTAATTCAAATTTATCATATATATTTAAAAAATATTTTGAAAACCATTGTTCTATAGTTATCTATTTAAATAAGGTATATTTATATTAAAACAGTTTAATTTTTTCATATAATAATAAAACTACTATTATACAAAATGAAATTTGAAGTTCTATATACACATAAAAAATATTAAAAATTAAAGATAAACAAGTGAAACAAAAATATGAAAGAAGAAGGTATAGATAATAATAAAAAAAAAAAAAAAAAAATTTAATGTAAGAATTAGAGGAAATTATTATAGTAGCTTATTATTATTATTAAAATCTTCTATATATATCTTGCATGTCATTAAGTGAAATAAAATAGGAACATACAGAATTTTTAAATGATTATGAATTTGAAGAAAATCAAAATGATGATTTATTTTAATGAAAAGATACATGTTGGAATGATGTTATTGTAAACTTAAAAAATTTGATTATAAATTTTATATTTTCAATTTCATACACTACTATATCTTTTAAACTTTTAATATAATTTTGTTACACATAATCCACCTAAACTATTTCTCTATATATATATGTATATTTAAATTTATTTTAATTTTACAGAATAACAAAAAAAATAAAAAAAATAAAGAGAAAGTATGTGCTTAATTTTAGGTAAGAAAAATGTCATTTTTTTTAATATGTACACTGTATTTTTAATACAACAAAAGTAATATTAATTAGAAAGATTTATATAAAAGAATAATTCATTATAAAAAAAAAAAAAAAGTTAAAAAAAAAAAATAAATTACAAAAAATATATCAATAAGCATTTTATTTTGAAAGAAATATAAAAAAAAAAAAATCAATCATATATTAATTTTCATTCAAATTAATTTTTGTCTTTAAATATTTTTTATGAATTCTAAAAATTTCTTAATGTTGTAAGAAAAATTAAAAGAAAATAATAAGAATAAAAATTACAATATGTATTTCTTTTTACTAACAATAATAATGACGATTTTATTTTTTTTTTTTTTTTTTTAATTGTCTTAATTATATAAGCACCTGTAAACAATACTAAAAAAATTCGAGGTGCATATATTTCACCGACATTTTTCTTTTGATTTATTTTTTTTTTAATTTTATATTCTTCCTTTTTTTTTTTTATTAATTTAAAATATGAATATTCTTTTTTATTATATACTAAAGATTAATTTCTTTTTTCTATTTTTCTTTCTTCTTATATAAATCAATTTTATTAACAAAAGTATGTGTAAATAATAATAATAAAAAAAAAAAAAAAAAAAAAGAAAAAAGAAAAAAAATACATATAAATATGAATAATATAAAAGAGACTAACACAAATTTAAATGATGAAAAAAAAAAAGAATACAAAAATAAAATAACAAATTTTTTTAAAATAAAATGTGAAGTAAAAAAAAAGGGATCAAATAATGTTTCAAATTTTAAAATTAATAATTGTAATACTTCAAGTGGCTCATATTTAAAAAATAATGGTATAGATGTAAAAGGGACTATCATAAAAAAAAAATTAGTTGAAGATAATATTTTCAGAAATGATAAAAATGTTAGTAAAAATATAGATTTTAAATATTCTAAGAAAAGCGATAAAAATTATTCTGAAACTAGAATGGAAAAACTAACAAAAAATAATAATTCAATTTTAATTAATTCAAATAATAATAAAAAAAATTATGAAAATATAAATTTCAATTATATATCAAAAGATACAAAAAATACATCTATATGTGAAACAAATCTAAAAAAAAAAGAATTTAATACAGATTATATTATAAAAAATATAAAACGTGGGAGAAAAAGAAAAAAAAAAAATGATGAAGAAAATAATATAATAAAAATAGATGAAAAAAAAGAAAACAAAAATAAAGACAATTATGATTTATTTAACTTATCGAATAAAAGTAAAATAAATATTGTAGGTGTAAATAACAGACAAGAAAATATAACAAATAATTCTGAGTTAAGTGAAAACAATATATATATAAAAAAAAATACAGAAATTCCTGTTGAAAGTAAAAAAATACCTAAATCAAGAAAAATATCTTTAGTAAACTTCTTTGGTAATGATATAGAAATTACAGTTAACGTAAATGATGATATAAATTCTGAAAATGAAACAAGTAGTGAGAATAGTTTTAAATTCATTAAGAATAATAATAAATTAAAATGTAATGATACAAATATAAAAAGTGAAAAAGAAAAAAAAAACTTAGAATCACTATATAGAAGAAATTCCATTTCAGATTATGAAAATTATAAACGTACAAGTTACAGAAATGAAATAAATAATACAAAAAATCAAATCAACAGTAATAAAATTAATAGAGAAAAACAAATCGTATTAAATGATGATTTAGTTAGTAAAGAAAATATACATAATTCTTTAGCTATTAGCAAATTCACAAATGAAAATAAGAGGATACTAAAATCAGATAATGAATTAGATTCGCAAAATATAAAGAGGAAAAAAAATAAAAGAATTAGAAATAGTTGCATTGGTATAGGAATAAAAAAAGATAATAAATATATTAATAATAAAGATAAGAGAAGATCGTGTGTAAATATAGAATTCAATGATAATATATACAAAAACGAAAAAAACAACTCAATTGAAAATATATTACCTAAAATTGTAAATTATAAAGACAAGGAAGATGAAAAAAATGTAGAAAAAAAAAGAGAGGAAATAGATAGAAATAATTTCAATAACAATTTTTACGAATTACAAAATATGCAAAAAAAGTTAACTTCAATTAAAAATAATTTTAGATTAAATGATAATGTAAGTGATATATTAAATGAAAAGAAAAAAATAAAAATTTTAAGGATTTTAAATAAATATTATTTTGATAAGGAATACAATAAGTATATAAGTTTAAAAAATAAAAAAGTAAAAAAGAAAAAAAAAAATACTATAGAATTATTAAGGGATGGATCTAACAAGCCTTACACTTTTTTTATTGCTGGGAAATTTATATTTTTTAGTAATTTTGTACTAACTAAAAAATTGAAAGATATTGGATATGGTATTACTAATAATATTAGGAGATGTAATTCGCTAGTTTTAGGTTATGATTTAAGTTCAGAACTTTTAAGAAAAATTTCAAATTTTGATGGAGAAATTTTTAATGAAAAACGAATTATAGAACATCTAAAAATGAATATGCAAAAATATCTTAACATTTTTACTCCAATAAATAAGAATAATGGGAAAAAGTATAAATTTTATTTTAATGAAACAAACATAAAAAATTCTGATATTTTTTTAATAAATAACAAATTACATTATTTCTGCAAATGCATAAGTAATTTATTGGATATCATTAGTATAAATACTATAGACAATATTATTTTAAATGATTTAAAAAAAAAGTTGAATAATTTTTTATTATTTTTGCATATATCTAGGAATAAATTTCATTCGGATATAAATTTCATATTGTATTATTATAAAAAAAATTTTACACTTATAAATACACTCAATGAAGAAAATATGAGGAGTTTTATTCTATTCTTTAAAAAAATATGTAATATATTTTCAAAATGTTATATTAATAATAACCTTTTAACTTTTGAAAGTAATATTATTAATGAAATAGATTTAAAAAAAGAGGAAAATTCAGAAGAGTATGATAATACTAAAAACGAAGAGAATTTAAAAATACGAGATAAAATAAATGAAGGAATAAATGAAAATAATGTAATAAATAATAAAATAAATATTACCAAAAAAAATGAACAATTATATTTTACAGAAAATATGGAAAGCAAAAATTTTGTAAATATTCATAATATTTATATGAAAAATATAACAGATAATAAAATTCCAAAACAACAAATTTTGAATAAGGAAAAGTATGATAAAAACGATTTTTTATTTGATCATATGGCAATTGATGATTATTTTGAAGATGAAGAATCAAATGAAATTTCTAGCGACGAAAAAGAATCAAATGATAATTTAAATTTGGTTGAAAATAAAATTTTACAAAATATAAAAAAGAGTGAGAAGCTAAAAAAAATAGATAATTTATGGAGTATTTTTTTTACACCTAATAGCTTATATGAAATAGCTGGACATAAAAATGAAATTTTAAGATTATATAAAATTTTAAAAAAAAAGTTTCATGATCATATTAAGAGTATAAATTATGAAAAAGTAGATTATATAAAAAAGGATGAAGAAAAAAAAAAAAATACAAAAAAAGAAATAGAATCAGATACAAATATCATTTTTCTAATTTATCCTCCCAATTCTGGCGTAAAAAGATTGGTAGAATTAATTTGTTATGCATGTGATTTATGTCCTATTTATGAAAATAAAGTGCAAAAATATAAAAACATAAATTATTTTTTTAAATATACTCATGGTTTGAAAGCAATATCAATATACAATGCAAATAGATTAGATAAAAATTCCATAAATGAATTAAGTTTGAGAAATGACGTATGCATATGTTTGTATGAAGATAAAAACTATATTATTAACAATTTTAATAATTTTAATCTACCTTTATTAGATAATATCAAGCATTTTCTTATTAAATTTTCTTATCCATCAAAAAAAGCTCTATTTTACAGATGTTTTGCTGTTTCTTCTTGTGTTATAAAAAACTTAAAAAAAAAAACTTTCAAACTATTATTTGAAATATGCAAATTAAAAAATTGTTCATATTCTATTGAAAGTGTTTATAGTAAATTGCATTTAATATCTATTTATATAAATTATATTATAAATAATTATTCATATAAAAAAGAATTAGAAGATAATAATAAAATGAATACAAATAATTTAAAAAAGAGTGTAATATGTGAAACTAATGTAAGTAAAAAAAGTTCGGATTTATATAATGATCATAACAACATATTAATTAATAAATTAGGAGGGCAAAAGTATTTAGAAAATAAAGACGATTTATTTTTTCCAAATAATATAATATATGAATATATAACAAACCATCTTTTAAATAGATTTTTAATTAATAACCATGAAGAGATTGAATACGCTATTTTAAAACAAAATGATATGAATTTATTGAAAACTAGTAATTTAAAAAACTTGAGAAAATTAAATAATGATTATTATTTTTACGGAGGATTTGACTTAGAAGAAATAAACAATATAATTTATAATTGCTTCGACAAACTTTATATAAGACACAAAAATGTAATTTTAGATTTTAACATAAACAAAAATAGTAGTTTAGAAGACAACATTGATTATTTATGCATGAATGATAAATCTAAACAGGAAAGGGAAAATATTTTAATAAAAGTTCTAGAATTATTTCTATACTCTTCTATTCTAATAAAAACAAATGATATCAATATTTCTTTAATTGCTATAGATATGGTAGTATATTGGAGTACATTTTTATATATGAACCCATCTTTTGCAAGAACAAAACATAAAAAACAAAAAAGAATTTATCAAAATGAAGAAATAATAAATTTAAATAATAATGATTATATAAATCAAGTTAAATTAAAAGACCATTTGAAAAATAAAATTGATAAATGTAATAAAATGTATTCTGAAAAAATTAAAAAATACAAAAATCTTATGCTTCTTTTTAGATTTCCGTTTAATTTTTCATCAGCAAATATAGTATATGATATTTTACAATCTAATAAAATTGTCAATTTCAATTTAAAAAAAAATAAGTGATCAAAATTGTTAAAAGTAACTTGTAATATTTATAATTAATTCTCCTCTTTTTTTTTTTTTTTTTTTTTTTTTAAGTTATCTTTTAATATATATTTTTTTTAAATGTTTTTTTTTACTTTCTATCCTATGTTTTATTATATATATTTTTGATTATTATTATTTTATTTTATTTTATTTTTTTTTTTTTTTGTTAATTATGACAAGTTTTTTAAATTAAATTTTTTGAAAAATTAATGTTGATGTATGTTTCATTTTAAAACTTTTGAAAATTTTTCCATTAGGTGTATAAATAACATTTTTATTTTTTTTTAAGTTATTAATATTTGAATTTGTGAAACTAGAATCATAAATTGATGGAACATATTTTAATAATTTATAAATCATAAAAGAATTATAAAAATCAATTTTTTGAACAAAAGACATTGAAAAATCATTTGGAAATTTACATGTTAAATATTTATCATTAATTCGTAAGTGCAAATAACCTTTTTCTTTTAATAAAATAGAAGAATTTTTAAATAAATAATAAAATAACTTATTGAAAAGAAAATATTCAGCTTTTTTATAATATTTAATATAATTATTATCTTCTTTATCCAATTTGACTTTCCATTTTTTCTCAATAAGCTCTTTTGTTGGTAGTACAAAAGGAAAATTAAACACTATAATATCAAAAGTATTTTTTAAAAAATGTTTATCAATTGTTTCAACATTAATATTAGATATATAAATCCCCCCACATTGTTCTAATACCTTTAAATTTTTTGTAAAAATATTTCCATAGTTTTTTATTAATTTTAATTTATCTTCCATTGAGGTAGCAACGACACTACATATGTTTAAATTTTTTTGTAAAAGTGCACTAAATGATAAATTCGCTTCTCCTATGCATAATATTTTTTTTTTATTCTCATAAATAACATCTCCTATTATTAAATCCTCATAATCATTATTTCTTACACAATCATATAAGTATTTTTCATAAACACTCTTACATTCTTTCTCATATAACATATTTTTTAATTTATTATAATCATTTTTTATGCATTCTTTATATTTTTTAATTAATTCTTTATTCATATACTTTTCAACTTCATAATTTCCCAAAAATAATAATTTCTCAAAAGCTCCATATTCTTTTTTAATTTCACTTAATTTATAACTGGAATTGAAATTTGCAAAATGTAATTTAAAAATATTTATTAACCTACATTTTTTTTTAAAAAAGGGACTGTTCATATTTTATTATTCTTTAGTTGATAAATATAAAAAAGTAATAATATCCTTTTAAATACCCATAATTTTAATTTTTTCAGAGATATTACAAGATCAAAAAAAAAAAAAAAATATATATATATATATTCATAAAATTACTGATATCTATATGTAAAACGTTTTATTTTAATCATTGTATTTCATAAAATAAAATTATTTTAAATTATAAATTAATAAAATATTTAGTGTAAAAAATATATTACTATCAAAAATAAAAAAAAAATTAAATTATAATAAATATATACGTATATATATATATATATATATATATATTTTTTTTTTTTTTTTTTTTTTTTTTTTTTACATATTCATATAATTAGCATTATTATCATTGAACATTAAAAATATAATTTGAAATATTCAATAAAAAAAAAAAAATTCAAGTTTAAATAAAAATTTTATATAATTTTTTTTTTTTATCCTAGAATTGTTTTGATAAAATATAAAACATAATATAAAGTGAGTCTTTGAATCAAAAAAAAAAAAAAGAGAATAAAAAGTTTACCTATTAAAATATTTAATAAAAGCAAAACAAATATTCCATTTTGTTTGTAAAGAAAACATTTTTTTAAGTTTTTAAAAATAATTTAAGCTAATATATAAAAATAAATATTCTTATATGAATAATAATGAATTATAAAATATAATTTAAACATAATTTATGTATATTTGAAGAAAAAAAAAGAAAAAACTTACTAAAAAAAAAAATGAATAACGATGATTCAAGTGCCTTATCATGTTCTTTAAGTCTAGAAAGTGATACTTGTAATGAAGATGAGTATGATACAAATTTGAGCAATTTAATCGAAAATAAAACACTAAATTGGATATTTGTTGGAGGAAAAGGAGGAGTTGGAAAAACTACAACATCTTGCTCAATAGCAGTTCAATTAGCAAAAAGAAGAGAGTCAGTTCTGTTACTATCAACAGATCCTGCACATAATACGAGTGATGCATTTAATCAAAAATTTACCAATAAACCTACGTTAGTCAAATCATTCAATAATTTATATTGTATGGAAATAGATACTACATTTTCTGAAAATACAGCATTTAAATTAAATAAAAAAGATATTTTTGAAAATATTATTCCAGAATTATTACAAAGCTTTCCAGGTATCGATGAAGCTTTATGTTTTGCTGAATTAATGCAATCAATAAAAAATATGAAATATTCGGTTATAGTTTTTGATACAGCACCAACTGGGCATACCCTAAGACTTTTAGCCTTTCCGGATTTGCTAAAGAAAGCTTTAGGCTATTTGATTAATATAAGAGAAAAATTGAAGGGAACTTTTAATGTTTTAAAAAATCTAACTAACAATGAAATGGAATTAGAAAATTTATACGAAAAAATTAATCATTTAAATGCAATGTCTAGTAGCATTCAATCAAATTTCCAAAATCCATTGAAAACAACTTTTGTTTGCGTTTGTATTCCTGAATTTTTAAGTGTTTATGAAACAGAAAGATTAATACAAGAACTCACAAAAAAAAACATTTCTTGTTACAACATAGTTGTCAATCAGGTTGTTTTTCCATTAGAATCTCCTGAAATCGATGTAAATGAATGTGCAAATTTATTACAGAAAATAAATAATAAAGAAATTGAAAAATGCTTTAATAGTCTCATTATAAAAACCAGAGAATTAGAAGATGTTTACATTTCAAGAAGAAAATTACAATCAAAATATCTTATGCAAATTAAAAATTTATATGGAAATGATTTTAACATTGTCTGTATGCCTCAATTAAAAAATGAAATCAGAGGATTAGATAATATATCATCATTTTCTGAAATGCTTTTAGAATCAAAAGATATTCCAATATATAACTAAAACTTTTTTTAAAAAAAAATAATTATGCATTTAACTTTGAATTTATTTCTATATATATATTCCAATAAAATTTAAAATTAAAGTAATTGTGTGTTTTTCTATTTAAACAAAGTAATGTAAATTTTTATTTTAAAAAATTTAAAGAATTGATTTTAATATTTTTAAAATTTATAACTTTTTTATCTAATGCAAAATTTTCATTATAATATATTTATTTAAATAAATTTTGGAAAGAATATTCATATTAAAATAAATCAAAATATATAAAAGCATATCAAATAATAAAAAAATACATAATATATATAAAACAAAATTTTAATAATTATATAGTTTAAATAAGTAATAAATTCTCTCATAATTAAAAAAAAAATAAAAAAAAATGAACAAATAACAATAATAATAAAAAAATTATAGCATAAAGCATTAATCAGTGAGTCTCAGTAAAAGAACGTTTGAGGCTTCTGCTAAATCTTGTTCAGGACACTAAATAAAAAGTAATTAAGTAAAAATTAGTAATTAAAAAATTTTTTAAATCAAAAAATTTTGTTCATTTACATTCATATTTATATAAAATTCTTCCGAAAAGAATTTCTATTTTATCATATTCATTATTTAAAAACATCCTTATATTTAGTGTATATATTTATAAATATTTCATAATAACATATATATTTTTTTTAGTACCTGTTGAAGATTTTTTAAATTGTCAATTGCATTCGAATTTTTAACTGCTTCTAAAAATTCAGGTATTTCATCCCCATCATTCTGAATCAAAAAATGTGAAAGGAAAAAAAAAATATTACATTTACTTTTTTTAATATATATTTAAAATGTAACTCATTATGTTATATATATATAAATATAAGTTTATGGATAAAAATATATATTTTTTTCACTATATATTTAATACAAACCAATATAAAATCTTCTAAATGATAAATCGCTTCTAATTGAGTGTATAGAGGTTGATTATCATCATAATTTGATGGTCTAAATATATAAGAAAAAAAAAATTAAAGTTAATAATAATATATATATTTATATTTAATTTCATTTTAATTATAACAATTCTAATAAATTCACGAGTTGTGTGATCCCTCCTAATTTCAAAAACTCTTTTTTATATTTTTTATCTAAAAAAACGAAGAATCGATTATAAATTAATATATAATATGAAAACTTATTACAATCATTTCTTTTTTTTTTTTTTATATACCCAAAACAAAAATATTTCTACATGTTTGAGCGCAAGCTGCTTTCATCCCATCTATATTTGACTTCATTCCACTAATTAGATATGGTAAGGCGCCATTCTCAAACATGCAAATACAATTTTTTACATCTAAATAACATCAAATATTATGTATTTAAAATATTTAATTTTAATTATTTTATGTATTTGTGTTTTTATTTTTTTCTAACTATCTACTGATAAAAATGATAAAGCAACTACAGAAGCATGTATTCTATCTAATTCCTATTTTTTTAAAAAGAATAGATAAAAATTTAAAATTTCTTCCTATTTATAATAAGATATGCTTTTTAATATTTTATTACATGTGATTTTAATAAGTTTATAAAAACGGGTATTCCATCAGCTTCACGAATTGCATCTTTGTAATGTGGTTCATCTAATAAAAAATATTTAAGAAAGAATATTATTAAATATCTAAATGCAAGAAATTTAGAATGCATATATTGTTTTACTTAATAATAAAAAATCATTTATTTTCTTTTAATTTTTCTTTACTTTCTTTGCTAGCTAATATTGCTAATTGAGTTGCTGATAATGCACCAATTGTTTTCGGATCTGCGGCCCAAGGATGCATTCTATCCTCCAATTTTTCTATCTGATTTAAAGAAAATAAAAATATTACTAAGTAAAGTATCACAATAAAATTCCATTTCATATTGATATATATTTATACTTCACAAGTAGAAGAACATAAATTAACGAATTCTTGTACATCATTTTCATCATAAGCCTTATCAAACCTTAGAATATCATTACCTAAAAAAATAATGAAATTATTTTTACAGTATTTTGTAGACAATTTTAACAAAAAGTACGAAATTAATTGTTTATATTTATTTATATATGGAGAAGTCAAATATATATTTGAAAAATTAAAAAATTTACTCGTAAAAGATAACAATTTTCTTAAAGTTTTTGATCCTTCTTTACCAAATTCATGCAATTTATTTTTATAAAGCAACTTATATTAAAAAAATAATATATATTATTAATGAACATTAAAATAATAAATGTAACATATATGGAAAATACATTTATAATATATTATCAATTATTAGTTTTTTTTTATATAATTTAAAAAACAAAATTCTTAATTTTATATTTTTTTATTACATCTCTTCCTGCACAACAGTAATTTCCCATAATTTCTTTGGGTTTATTAAAAAGTAAATTAATATTTTAATTAAATCTAAAACATAATCATATGATTTTACCTTACAATGTAAATTTTTTTTTTTAAAATATATTTTCCTTTTAAAAGGAATTTAAAAGAAAGAAAAATATCAATTCAAAATATTATTATGTTATAATTTTATTATCTTATTTACCTATACATAAACATGAGCATAAATATATGTATAAATATATATGTTTTTTTTTTTTTTTTTTGTCGTTTAACAAATTAATAGATGTTTTTATAACATCTATTTGTGTTGCAATAACTTTTTTTTATCTTTTCTTAATCTAAGGATTAAAAGAAATAGATTTTCTTAACAAATATATATTTGTATATTATATTTTTTTTATTTTTGAAGAAATAAAATAGTATTAATTTTGCACACTTCTATTTTTTTTTTAGTTTTTCTTCTTTCTTTTCATAAAATTTTCTTATTGTTTTTTCTTTTTTCCTATTGCATTTAAAAACATTTACTTTTAATTTTTATAATGCAGTTTAATGATCTAAAATGAACAATTTTAATATACGATTTTTTGGAATAAGAAAGTTTCAAAATAAATTTTATAGTTGCGTAAACTGATTTTTCTTTATTTAAAGGATCGTGATTTACTTGCACACTTAGATGCTCTTAATTAAAAAAAATTAACCTTTACTAAGTATATACAATATAATTAACTTTTATGTTTTTTTTTTTTCTTTTTTATAATATTTGCGATATAGTGAACAAATTTTAATTTTTTTTTTTTTTTTTTTTTTTTTGAAGTGTGTAGTTTTGGTGTGTGTCATATTTTTTTTTTATATATTTTCATAGCTTTTTTTTTTTATTTCGCTTTAAAGAAATATTTTATGGAAATTTTGTATATACGAAAACAACAGAATTTTTCTAAAACATGCAATATGGGCTATAAATATTCTTTTTCTTCAAAGAATATTCTCAATTCATATTTTTATAAGTATTTTCACCAGACAGTAGAGTATATTATTTATGGCAATGACTTTGTAATCTCTTTTTTTTTTTTAAATATGTAGTATTTATAGTTTAAAATAATAATACTAAAATTATTTCCTTGTTACATGTACACATTTAATAGATTATTTTATAAATTTTTTTAATTAGAATTTATTATATTTTATCAAATCAAGAAAATTTTTTGCAAAAGAAAAATTAATAATAAAGAAAGCTGCAAGCTAATTCTTTTTTTTTTTTTAATTCAAGTAAAACTAAAATACAAAACTTCTGAAAATATATTAAAATAAAGTAATGCACTACAAATTATGTATCCTAAATGATATAAAATTAAATTACACCAAGTAATAACAACTTAGACAAAAATTGACAAGTATTACTAAATGTTTTCCATAATTTATACTATCAATACATAAAAAAAAAAAAAAAATTAATTTGCTTGTTAATAAAAAAAAAAAATAACATTAGCTATTTTTAAAAGAAAGTACATGAATGTACAATAATTTTTAATTTATTAGCTATTAAGTTTTTTTATAGCTTTAATTCTAAAAAACTGAAGTAAAACTTTGCATTCTGTTTTTAATAGTTTTTCATTTCTACTTAAGAACTATTTTTTTTTTTTTTAAATTTTCATTTGAATTTTTAATTATTTATCTTTGAGAAAAAAAATTTAAATAAAAATAATTATACTTAATTCTCAATTTCGAATAATATATTTTTTGAAATTTTAAACTTTGAAAAAACCTTTAGTTAAATATAAGTGCTATGTTTCATTTAACCTTATCCAATAGTGATTAAATTTTAAATTACTTTTTATATTTTATTTGTGTTTTTGAAATATATTTTAAATATGCGCACCGTTCTTTATAATGGACCATTTATTCCTGAAATTGATGCTGGATACAATATCCAAGCAAATGGTGTTATAATTAACTTTTTAAAAGATCCTTTTTGCTTTAGATATAATATAATAAATGAAAGCGATAAAAATACTGAACTAAATAAACCTTTAAACTTTATTGATGAAAATATTAAAATATTGAACCCTCTAACTGCGACAAAATTAGTTGAAGTGCCCCGATATTTGTATAAAGAACATATAATAAATAAAAATGAGATAATACATAAAAATGTTTATGTTCCATATGTAGGTCCTGTTTATAAAATAAAGGAAGTAAAAGTTCCTATTTATAAGGAAAAAATAAAATATATTCCAAAAATCATTGAAAAAGAAAAAATTTATGAAATACCAAAAATTGAAATAAAAAATAAAATTCAAGAAAAATTGGTATATTTACATAAGAATAACATAAAATATAAAAAATTAAATCATGTTGTTGAAAGAGTTATTCCTATGTTGAAAACTGATGTTATAGAAAAAACCGTCATATTATCAAATATTCAAAATCAAAAAATTTTAGATAAGGATGAAACTAACAAAAATCAAGCTTTCAGTGATCCAGGAACCAGTAAAGAATTGTACAAACTTCATCATCAAGAAAAAAATTATAAAAGAAAGAAAATAGAACACATTGTAAAAGAAGATATACTTCAAAATAATGAAGTAGAAGAAATTAATGAAAAATGTGAAATAAAATATGATGGAGAAATAGAAGAAATAAATGAAAATGAAATATTAAAAGTTGAAAAATCAAAAGAAAACAAAGAAATAAGGAAAATAGAAGAAAATGAATCTAATATACCTAATTGTTTATTTCCTCCAAATTTAAGCTTATCTCATGAAATAAAAAAAAAAAAACAATTAGACATAAATATATTACCACAAAAGAAATATTTAAACTATTCTGAACTAAATTTATCCAATATTAGTAGTGAGAATACAGAAAAGAGTTTTAACCTATATTTAAGCGAAAATACAAATTAGATTAGTGTATATTTCAAAATACCGAAAATTTAATGAAAATTTATTCCTTTAGTAAGTAAATATAAACTTAAAATAGCAATGAACTTTTATAATAAACATAACACTTTTTTTACTATAAATTATTATGAAAAAAATAATATAAATTTAAATAACAAATGCCCACATAATATATATAATATTTTAAAAAATAAAAAAAACTATCTAAAATAATTAGATAAAACATTTAAAATACTCTATTGGTATTCATAATCTTAATTTATTTGAAAAAAAATTAATAAAATAATCAAAATTATTAAAAATATGTCAGATTTAATACTAAAAAAGGAAAAATCATCTTATCTTTATATATAAGTAAATATGATAAATGTTTATAATATAAAATGAAAAAAAAAAAAAAAAAGGAAAAATCTAATATATAAAAATACACCAGATTTAAATTGTATAAAAAAATGTGACCACAAAATATGGTACTTACTATATATAAGAATATTTTCATAATATAAAAATTAAAAAATAATAAAATTTTTTCAAAAATTAAAAAAAAATTATATATATATAAACTAATTAAAAACTATTATTAAAACTGTAAATAAAAAAGTACAAAAAAAAAAATGTGATAAATTATATAAATTATAATAAATTATTTCATATTAATTTATACTTTTTTTTTTCTTTTTTTTTTTTTTTTTTTCATATTTATATTATAGATCAAATTGTAATGTTTTCTTTATATTCAAAACTTTTTTATATATTTAAAAATATAATAAAATATTCATTATATTCCTGTAAAACATATAAAAAATTATTCCATTGTGTGTTTGTTTAAGAAAGTAGTCAATTTAAATGTTACTTCGTTTATTTTTTCTTTTAGAGGCAATAAAGATTCTTTTTTTTCCGTAGAAATAAATACTGAATTTTCTTTTATATCTTTAGGCAAATTAACACTATCAAAATCTATTAAATCTGATTTTGTTATAACATCAATCCAAGGCCTAAAAGGAAATAATCCCCTTAAATAATATCGAATATCTATTTGAGATTTTATAGATGAGTATTTGTGATCATCTTTTTTTAACGGGTCAAAGACATAAATAACAGCTGAAGGTAAGTTTTTCAGAGATGAAAGAGTTAATTTTTCCATCAAATTTCTTTTTTCTTCTGGACGATTTATTAAACCAGGTAAATCCATTATTTGAGTTGTGTGTATATCGTTTTCATCACTAAAAGAGTAATGACCTAAATTAAATTCTTTCGTTGTAAAATTATAGTCCGCTATTTTGGATTTTGAATTTGTAATTGAATTAAGAATACTACTTTTACCTACATTAGTGCAACCTATTATTGATATAGAAGGTTTTGTTATATCAATATATTTTATTTTTCTAATTTTTTTTACAAAAGAGTTGTATATATCTAACCATTTTCTTCCTGATTGTAATATAACATTTATATCTACTATGGCTTCATTCAATTTATTGAATATTTCTTTGCATGTTTTTAAATATTTTAACTGTCCAGCGTAAGTTTTACCAGTTAATGTTATTAATTTTCTAACCTCTAAAATGTTATTTAAAACATCATTTAATGAATTGGAAACCTCTCCATCATTATATAAATTAGATATAGTATTTTCATATAAGCTATACTGAAATGGATGTAAAAATCTTTTTAGGTTTTTATGCAAATAATATATATTGTTTAATGGTCTTGATAAAAGTTTTGTGTATAAATCTACTTTAATGCAGCATTCTTTACATATCCTTTTTTTGGTATGTTTTTCTTTATTTATATTATTATAAATACTAGTTAGTTCCAATTTAATCTTGTCTTTTTTGGTACCTTTCTTTTTTTTTTTTGATAAATCATCATAAGGTTCAGAATTTAAACTCTTTTTATCTACATTTTTAATTAAATATAAATTTCCTTTTTCTATAAACTTAAGATACAACAAAGCATCTTTAATTACTTTTATGTTGTCTTTAAATTTGGGCATTTTTTGAAAAACATTTGCAACATATGTTTTTACTTCAATTTTTTTTTCTTTTTCTTTAAAAATATTACTATAATTATATATATTTTCAAATTTTACTCTTTCTATCCTATTTGGATCGTCTTTAACTAATAAACTACTCTTTATATTATTCAAGATATCACTATTTGTTTCTATATTTGAATTTATTTCTGAATTATATTCTTTTATTTGAATGTTTTCGACACTTTGATTCTTAGTATTATTGCTTTTAGCATATTCATTTTCTGTTTCATTATTATTAATTTCATCTGATTTTTTTTCATAAAATGGGTTATTTTTATCTAAGTTATAATGTTTATATATATGTGTGAAATCAAAAAATTTTACAGTTTCTACAGGATTTTTTTTGTCATTTTCATTATTTCCATCATTAGTCATAGATAGAATTGTATAATTTTTATTTATGTATTTATTTTTTCTAAATTTCATAATTTTTAAAATATAATTTTTTTTGAAGTATAATAAATTATTATTATTAATATAATTTATTTTTTTAAGATAACAAAAAATTATCCCATAAATATTTACCAAAAAGATGACTTTTATTATAAAATTCATTTTCTTCTCTTTTCTTTTTTTTTATCTTTTTTTCTTATTTTTATTTTCATCAATATTTTAACATTAGAAATATTTTGACTTAAATCGTTTTTTTTGCAAGCATTTTGATAAAAGTACATTGCATATGAAGAAAACACTTCATTACAGTCTTAAAAATACTTAAAATTTTTTCATTGATCCATTTTTTTTTTCCTTCCCCTTAAAACATAAAATCAGTTTAAATTTATAACAGTGAAAATCCAAATATAAAATATACAAGAATTAAATAACTTAAGAAAAATATTTTACAGTTTAATTTTAACATAAAAATAAAAATATATATATATTTTTTTTCTTCCACTTGTTTAATCTATATATTTTCGTATGTTGTAATTTACTGATTTAAGTTTTTTTTTTATCTCATTTAAAAAGAAAAAAAAAAAAATTTTTTAAATATTTATCTGATTTCGTATATAATTTTTTTTTTTTTTTTTTTTTTTTTTCTTCATGCAATTTATAACATAAATACAAAATTTATTATTTAACTATTTTTGTTTAATTTTTCTTTTTTTCTTCTTTTTTATTCCTTTTTTTCTTTTTTTTTATCTTCTAAATTATAATTGTGTGTAAAATATAAATATATCAAATTTGATTCCTAGACGTAAATTTTAATTATAACCTTAACAGGAAAAAAAAAAAATAAATGGAATGGCATTATATATATTTTAAAATTTTTATTTTATATTATTTTCCTTAGTTCTTTATTTTTTATTTTTAAATTATTTTTTTGTTACATAAATTTTTCTTTAATATTTTTTGCGTTAAATATTAAAGAATTAAATTATATATAAAATGGGAAACACAGTTCCATATAGCTGTTATGAAAGATGGGGAAAAAGAACACCAGATGGCCCACTAATTAATTATAATCCGCAGATAGTATGAAAATAATTACAAAAAAAAATAATTTTACGAAAAATATAAATATTCATAAAATATATTCATTTTATACTTCTATTTACATTTATTTGCTATTATTTATCAGCCAAACAATGGATCAATGGCTATCTTATTAGAAAATTTTGAATATGAATTAAATGAAGAAACAAATGATACTACTAAGAATAATAACTTGAGCATTAATAGAAAAGATGAAAACAATAATGAAAATATTAATAAAAATAATATAAATCTTAATGTTATCAGAAGTGCTAGAAGAAGACCTACATATTCACCAACAGCTAGAAAAGTGATAATAGAAACAGAAGATGAAGATGATGATAAATTATCTACTGATGGATCAGATGAAAATATTTCAGCTAAAGATATAAAAGATGAAAAAATTCAGCAATATAGAAAAACTTTAACTAAAGTTGTTAAAATAAAAACAGCTATTTTTCATGAAACTGTTAAAGTTACATGCTCAAAAGATGGAAAAATGCTTGAATGGTATAAGGGAAAAGCAGATGGAGACGGAAAAAAAAAACCTATTGGATCATTTCCATTAAATAAAATAACCTCAATAAGAACCAAAGCAGACAATCTTAAATCACTCGAAATAGCTGTAAGTAGTGTTCAAATAAGTACATATTTATTCATTTTTAAAACTAGAGAGGAAAGAGAAGATTGGCAAAATAATTTAGAATCATTCAAAAAAGTTATGAGTATGAAATAAAACACGTTTTAATACCGTAAACATTTTAATAATAACAAATGTATTGTTTTTAATATACTTAATTTTATTATTTGTAATACGCAAAACTTATTTTTTAAAATTAAGAATAAAAAAATTTTTTTTTTTTTTTTTAAGTGAAATATTATATCTATATTATAACTTTTTTCTGTTTAAAAATCAACATAATTTTTTAGTCCTTATAACATTAATATTTTTAATACTTAATTTCTTTTTAATTTATTATATACATATGTATATATTTATATGCATTTTTTTTTTAATATTATTCTTCAAAAGTTTATATAATTCATCTTTTTTTATTTTTATTTTAATATATAAATTTATTTGTAAAAAACCCTTTATTTTATAGTTCATATTGCATATTTTTTTCACTTTAAAACATATTTACTTTTTTTTTTTGTGGATATTTTTTAGTATTTAAATTAAATTAATTTTCAAAATTATTAATAATAGAATTAAAAAAAAAACTCTCCGAAAATTAATAAAATATTTTACCGCCAAGAAAACTAGTAATTTTTTTTTTTTCTCTCCTAAATAAGTACACGTTTTTATATATCTTGTCTAACTTTATCTCGTACATATAGTTTTGTGTCCTTTTTTTTTCACACACACGTATTTTTAATTTTTCATAGTAAAAATATTTAGTGCGTTATATAATTTGCATCTTAAATTATAAGATAAAAAAGAAAAAAAGTAGAGAAAAGAAAAAATGCTAAATGATTTAGTAAAAAAAAAAAAAAAAAAAAAAAAAAAAAAAAAAAAAAAAAAAAAAAAAAAAAAAAAAAAAAAAAAGAAAAAAGATAAAAGAAAAAAGATAAAAGAAAAAAGAAAAAAAAAATTAATAAAATAATAAAATTTGACAAAATAAATAAGAAAACTTTCAATTCATTTTATTTAACAATTATAGCTTATGTAAATAAGCAATTATTATATACATCTATGATTATAATTTAACATCAATACATAGAAAAGTAAAAATTATTTCAACATTATTAAAATCTTATGCATCATATCTAAAAAAGATCTATAAAAATGACAATAGATGATAATATAAATGAAACTAATGATGCTGATATTTCCTTAAAAACAAAAGTATCTAAAAATAATGAGGCTGAAAAAAAAAAAAAAGACAGTGATACACAAAAAAATGAATATGATAATACTTGTGAGCAAAGAGAAAAAAGAGATAGAAGTTCATCTAGAGATTCTTTTAAACCAGGTTTGATAAAAAAAAAAAAAATAAATAAAAATAATGTGTTAAATATAAACATTGAAATATGTTGTAGAAAGCATAAGAAATTTATAAAATATTACATGTATTTATATTTTAAATAAAAAGTTGTTTTATCATTTGATATTTTATAAATTTTCACAATAAATGAGTATTTGTATTTCTTTATGTTTCTACAAATTTTTAAAACATTTATTTCCCTCTCTTTTTTTTTAATTTTTTTTCTTTTAAAATAAAAAATTTGTAAATTTTTTAGAAAAAAAAAAGATATGTTGTTGCCATGAAACAAACAGTGCAAAATGTTCTAAATATGAAAAGAATAATTCAAATACAAAAAATAAAAATGTAGATTCATTAAGTACTGGTATAATACAAATATATTTAATTTTTATAATTTATATTATGAACTAATGGTACATATTATACATGTACAGCTTCTACAGGAATTAATGAGTTTGTAAATAATTCAAAAAATATTAATGAACCATTTAAATTTTTTATTGGTGGTATTCCACAAAATATCACAAATAAAGTAATAACATATAACTTTTTTTTTAAATGAATTTTTTGGCAAATTATACTTTCTTTTTATTTATAATGTTCTAAAAGGATATAATAGAATATTTCGAAAAATATGGAACTGTGCAAAATGTCGTTATTGCACAAGATCATGAAACAAAAAGAAATAGAGGATTTGCATTTGTAACAATGTTATCACAAATTAACAAAGAAAGAATTTTAAGAGTATATAAAAATAATAATATACAAATTAAATGAAAGTAAAATTAATATAATTATATATAAAATTTATTATTTTTTTTTTTTTTTTTGCGATTCATTAGGATGCACATGAATTAAACGGTAAAAGGGTAGATGTTCGAGAGGAACACAATACTACTCCATCTGATATTCAAAGAAAAATATTCGTAGGAGGATTAAACTATTACTGGACTAAAGATACATTAGAAAAGTAAAAATAATATAAAAAAAAAAAAAAAAAAATTGCAAATATTCTTATGAAAAACAGTTTACACTTCCTTTATTATATATTACTAACTATGTTGTTTAGTTATTTTTCAACCTTTGGAGATATCGATGTCGTTCAAATTGTAGTAGATTCTAGTGGTAGATCTCGATGTTTTGGTTTTGTAGTTTTCGCTAATGAAAATTCGGTTGCAAAAGTTTTGAAGCATAAAAGACACAAAATTTATGTAAAAAAGAAAAATTAATGATTGAAAATTAAAATTAAAAATACCATTAATGGTTTTTCTTTTTGTTTCTTTAGGATAAAATGGTGGAAGTTAGAAAAGCAGAACCCAAAAAGCCTAAAATGGCCATGAAACGACAAAATACTAAAACGTATGAAATATATATACTTTTCTTTTCATATATTTTCTAATTTATATATATTCTTATATATATATATATATCATGCTTGTACTGATTTTCAGTTATCCAAAGTATCCTCACCATATTCCTTTCATGACCCCATTCCCCTGTAATAAAGAGACTATGGCTCAATGGGCTAATTTCATGTATAATACTTGTGGAGTTCCGTTTTTATTTAATCAAAGATTTCAAAATATTCCTGATTTTTATCCAAATTATAATTATTATCCAAATTCAATGGAAAATTTACAGCAATCAGAATATAATAATTAATTTTTTTTCTATTTTTTTTTTTTTTTATAAAAAATTACGTTCCTTAAAATATTGTCCGTGATGCATTGTTCTTTACAATTATGTTTTAAAAAAAAAAAAAAAAGAAAAACAGTATTATAAAAGATTATTATTAAATAAAAGAAAGAAAAGGATAAATAAAGAAAATATAAATGATTTAAATGTATATTTAAAATATATCTTGATCTTAAATTTTTTTTTTTTTTAAAAAAAAAAATATAAATTCACTTCAAAAAAAAAAAAAATTTACTTCTAGCTCTTTTATTTGAGGATATGGAATTCTCCTCTTCATAACAAGTTATGTCTATTTTTTCTTCCGTTTTTGATAAATGTTTTTCTTTTATTGGACTATTACATTTCATATTATTTTTTCTTTTATAATATTTTTTTCTTTTTAAATTTTTAAAGCACGAAAAAAAATTTATTATTTTTTTCTTCTTTATTATATTTGGAGGATCCATTGTATTTTGATTGTTTTTATAATTAGAAAAATTTTCGTTCAGATATAAATTTTTATCTGTAATAGATTCATTTTTATTTTCATCTTCATTTTCAAGTTTCTGTAGTGTGTTTTTGTCTCTATTCTGATTATGGTCTATTTTTTGAAGGTTAGAATAAGTGCTTAAAAGTTGCTTAAATAAATCTTTTCTTTTATTATCAATATCTCCTTTTGAATTTTTATGACTATTATTTGAATTATCTTCAGCAATATAATCTGTTTTAGGAAAATCATTTGAATTTTTTTTTTCAAAATCTTTATTTTTAAGGAAATGAGATTTATCTCTTGATAATAAAACAGAACTTAATTTATTTTTATAATCTTCACTTATTTTATTATTTAAACTTGAAATAGACTTATTTTTAAAAGATTTTTCATTTTTATCTAAAAGAGATTTTTCGTCCATATAAGAACTATTTTTACTATTAGAAAAAGATACATTTTTAGAAGTAGTAATTTTTGAAAATAATGTATTATTCAACTTGTTAGCTATATCTGCATTTGTTACACTAAATTGCTTTCTTCTAGCAAGACATTCATCCATATATTCTGATTCAGTTTTTTGTGATAAAGTAAAATCTACACTTTTTTTTGGAAAATTGTCATTTTTTTTAGAACTCAATAATTCAGCAATTCCTAAAATAAAATATATATTTAATTAATTTTTTTTATTACATATTATATTCTATCTTTATTTGGTTAAATAATTTTAAATTCATATGTGTTTTAAGTAAAACAAAAAAATAGGTAATAAAAAATTCCGTAAAATTTTTTAAGTATATATATATATAATTTTTTTTTACTCATTTGTTTTTCCTTTATTGACACATGAACATTAGATCTATCTTTAATTTTTTCCTTATCATCAAATTCTAAAAAATGATTAAAAAACGTTTTTAAAAAAAATTTTAACTATTAAAAAAAAAAATAAAAACATTATATAATATATACAAGAATTGTCTAATAGATGGTATTATATAAAATATTTAAATTTTACACAAAAATAAAAAATTAATTTTAAAAAAATAAGAAAAAATTATAAAATAAAATAATTTCAAGTATATATATATACAATTTATGTAATTTTATAAACCTAAGTAAGCCGACTTTTTTAAAGACTGCTCTTCTATATAGTTTTGTTTTTTATATGCCATGATTCTATATGATTTATACTGTTTTAATTTATCTTTTGGTTGTCAATTTTTTTTTTTAGTTTTTTATTTTTATTTCTTCATAAAAAAAAATAACAAATTATTTTTCTTAATTTTTTTAATTTTGTACTTGTATCTAAAATAAAAAAATAAAGCAAGGTTTACATGCAGTAAATCTACATGGTGAAATTTCCCAAAAAACTTTTAAATTATAGCTGTATAAAATTATCATCCTATTTTTTTTTATTACATTTTCAAAACTTGAACATATATTATGGAGAAAGTTAATAAAAAACTAAAAATAATTTACTTTTCTCTAAAAAACTGTGAACATTTATTTCATATATAAACTTGGTGTGTATGTAATACACAAACACACGCCTGTATATCTTAATTTTAATTTAAATTTAATATCTTTATGTAATATAAAATTGTATAAATCATTTAACCTTTTACTTTCATGTGTGAATTATTTAGATTACATATATAAACAAAAGTATTATAAATTTCAGAAAAATTCATTTATATAGAAGTATAGTTTGCTAAGGAAATGTTTTATATATGAGCTAATTTATGCTTCATTTTCTACAAAATTTTCTTTAAAAAATTAAAAATTTTTGTTAAAAAAATAATAAATTATTTTATTTTATATCTTTAAATTAGTTGTAAAATAAAAGTTGGTGTAGATCAAATTATTCATTTTGTTTTTTTAAATGTTATTTATATCTGCTGTGTTTTCATTGGAGTTTAAAATACTTAAATTTTTTTAATATTTTTGATTTCATAATGAACATTTCATTTTTATATTTTTTAATGATACTTAGTATATTAGGTAACGAGATACAATATGAATTTAAAAGATAAATTTTTTTTTGCTTATTGTTAAAAATTAAAAAAGAATAAATTAAAAGTATGTTAAACTTTAAATATACCTTTTTTTAATAATAAAAGCTTTATAAAAATATAATCCAAATTTATTTTAAAAAAAAATTTAAATATATTAAATGTTCTTAAAATTTATAACTTTTATTTTCTTTTTTAATAATACTGAAATAGTGCACATGCTAATATTTGAAATATACATTTTTTTTTTTTTTTTATTTTTAAATCTTTTTTTTTTATACACTTGAATAATTTTACAAAAATTTTTATTTAAAATGAGTTCAAACCTAAATTTTAAAAAGGAATAAAAACAAATATCACACATATATACTATTTTTCGCTTATTTTTTAAAAATGAAAAAAAAAATTGAAAATAATGAAAATGGATTACTCAAGAAACTTTTTTGTCAAAAATTAACAAAAGTTTGCAAATTCTATATTTTATTTTGCTAAATTATACTATATTATATATATATATATATATGCATTTGTGTTTTATTTTTAAAATTTATAATATTATAGATATAATTTTAATTTTTTCTTTTCATTCAGAATGAAATGGATGATGTTTTTTTTTATTATAAACAAATTATAGGTTAGAGAATTAACAGAAAAACATATAATATGACAAATACATTTTTTTTTTATTTTTAACATTGTAGGTATCATAGCTGGTGTAATATGTGGAATATTACATATTAAAGGATTATGGGGATTTTTATTTTTTTTTATTTTACAATTTCTGACTTCTTTTGCATTGTATAACAAAAAAATACATGAAAATTACTTTCTTGATAACTTTAGTATTGCAACAAGCAATATTTTTATTGCACTCTCTGCATTTCTGGTATTATTTTATAAAAATAAACTTGCTTTATGTATTTGTTTATTGAATAAAATAAAATGTACTTTAATATATATTTAATATATTAGTAGATAAATATTAATTTCTGTATAAATCCTAGAAAAAAATTTTCTTTACAATTTTTTTTTTTAAGGTATCATGGATAACTATTAACACATTACTCATTTAAATATAATTTTTTTATAAAAAAAATTCAAATGGAGAAAAAGAATAAAACAAAATATTTAACATAAAAAATTTTTCTTTTATTTTTTTTTTTTTGAACGGAAATAATTTTTATAATTTGTTTTTGAAGAAATAACAAAATGAAATAAAAAAACTTCTACAGAATATCAAATAAATAATTTTTTTAAAAAATTCTTATACATAAAAAATAAAATTATTATACTATAAAAAAGCAAACAAAATAATATAATTTTATATTACTTGCAACTATAATCCAAGTATTTAAAAATAAATAAATAATTTCATTATTTATATTAAAGAACAAATAAGTTTACCTATATATTAATTTTTAATAATATATTGTAACATGTAGACTAAATGATATTAAAGTTTTTATATTTAACTTGAAGTTTTATTATTTTATATGATAGATCTAAAAATAACTCCTTCAAAAATACCAAATTGTGTTTGTTTATGAAATGAAACAATTTTAAAGAATAAATTGAGGAATATAATTTTTTTCAAATTCAACTTATAATAATGGTAGATATTATTGCCTAATTTATAAATTTCAGTAAATAATAAATAGTTCTTTTTATTTTCTCTTTTATATTTAGCAGAAGCCTATACTATCAAATTTTTTATGGTAAAAAATAATCTAAAATGCTATTCTATTTTGTTAACATCCAATCTATATATTAATTTTTTTTTTTTTTTTTACAACATTTTAAACTAAAAATATAACAATATAGTAATTAATAATTTACGGATATAATCTATATAAATAGATAAACATTTAGGATATAAGTAACATTATTTTAAATGAATTTTGTTATTCTGTTGATACGCAGAAATATGTGATAATTTCAAACTTACTAAAGAATTAACATCTTTGTGTTTCTAACGTAATTTTTACTAAAACCCGTGTTAAATAATATATATATGTAAGATTTAAAAAATAATTACAGATATATTTTAAATTAATTAGTATTAATGGTATTTTCTAATAAAATGTTAAAATAAATAGGAATGCAAAAGCATTTTATCTTGTAATAATGAAAAACAAACCATACGTTTTTCACTTTTTGTTATAATTGTCATAAGATAGTTGAATTGTATTTTCTCATTAAAAATTATAATATATAATAATATAAACTAAAATAAAAAGAAATTAATAGATATATATATATATGAAATAATATTAAGTACTTGGTATTTGCATTTAGAATAATAATTATCAACAAACATTAGATTTTTTATAAAAAATAATTTTTATAGTTTTATTTTTAAATGTATTAATAAATGAAAAATTGAAATATTCAATTAAAAAAAAAGATCTATAATGCTTAATAATTTTTTTTTTTCTCTTTTTTCACATTTTAAATTTGTATATTAGATTTAATAAAATTAAAGAAAGCAAATATCTTCTTTGAGTAAAATACAATAAAAAATTTATATAAATATGAGAATTTCTGATATTGATATAACATTATAATATGTTAAATTAATATTTAATATATCCTCACTTGACGATATTTTGAAATGAACAATATATAATAATAACCATTTTAAATGGAATTTGTATAAATTTGAATAGTATTTATGTTAATTCATTAAAAATAAATTTATCTTATTTTTTTTTTTTAATAATTAATGTTTCACTAAATTTAAAAATTTTTAATTTTTTTCACAATTTTTTCTATATTACACGGATTTTTTCTATTCAAACAAAAATATATCAAAATAAATATATTAATGAACTAATTTTTAACAATTTAAATTAATAACATTTTTTTTTTTCGCTTTTTACATGAAAATTTTGAAATTTAATTAAAATTGTGTATTTCTTAATTTTATTTTTCCTTAAAACTATTATTACACTGTATTATTTTTTATTAATTTATATTTTTTTTTATTCATTAATGTGTAATTTTTATTATATTTCCACAATAAATAAATAAATCCTTAGTTCAACAAAAAAGATAAAAGTATTTTAATTTCACTGAATTTTGTTTTATTCTCACTTACAAAAACACATAAAACAAAATTATATTGAAATACCAAAAAAAAAAATTAATAAATCTATTAGTGTGTAAATTTTTTTTTTTATATGTGTAAAATATTTTTATAATATTCAAAGTAAATATATAAATGATATTTTTTTAGTAAAATTTTTTTTTAAAGTTGTAAGTTACAAATTCTCTGAATAATAAGAATATTTCAACATAGCAAAAAAGGACATTTAATTTTTTAGAATAGTTTAATTTTATTTTAATTATAAAAAAATGTAAAATTTTTATCTAATTTTTCAAATATATTTTTTCCGTGAAATTAATTTGAAGTAAATTTTTTTATTAAAAACTTAAGTTTTTATCTGTCTTTAAAAAAAAAAAACTATTATAATAATTTAAATATTTTTTATCAAAATTTTTATTTTAATAAAAAAATGAATAAATACAAAATATCTAAAGAAAGGGTAATTTTAAGAAATATATTTACAAAAGTTATAATTCCATAGAAAAAAATAAATTATTCAATTAAACTACTTTCATGCAAAAGTATACATTTTTAATTATTTTTTGAAGAGATCAGAAATTGAATCAATTTTTAATGAATTCAATAAAAATAAGAAAGGATTAGATGGAGAAGAAGTATTGTATATATTAAGATCTATTGGTATATTTCTCAACAAAAATGAATCAGATGCCCTTTTAGATGGTAAAATAAAATTACACTATGTTAAAACATTAATTTTTTTCCTTTTATTTATTTTTCTTAATCTGCAAATAACTTTTAATAATTCATCCTAATATTATAAAATTACGTTTTAAACTTTACGTTTTAATACTGTAACATTTTTCTTATTTTTACAAAAAATAGAATGTAGGTCAAATGGTAATTTAAATTTAAATAACTTTTATGCTATTATGCAAGCATTTTACTATGATGAAAATATCGGAAAGCTACTATTAACATCATTAAAAGCCCATACTAACGAAAACTCTAAAAGTATTAGTATTTCTGAATTAAAGAATTTATTAATGACATTAGGTAAATAGTAGTATATATATGTATATAAATACTCAGAACTACTTTTTTTATTTTATATTTATGATTAAATTTTAACGATGTTTTTTACAAAAAAAAAAAAAAAAAAATACTTTTTAATGTAGGAACTGGTGTAAAATTAACAGAAGATGAAGTAGACGCTTTTTTAAATTTAGAATTCAGTACGAATAATAGTAAAGACATATCGTTCGATGAATTTATTTATAAGTAAATAAAAATATCATCTTATTTCATATTCTTTTTTATTACACGAAAATATAAACAAATATAAATTAAGAATCTTCTTAATTAAAATTATACATTTTTTTATATTTTAAATATCTCATCTTCATTCTAATAATTTTGAATTTAAAAGAATTTATCTTTTATATAATGTATGAAATAATTTAATTTTCATTTAAACCAAATATAACTGAAAATTTTACCAAAAATTAGGGTATTAAAGGAATGAAATAAATAAATAGAGGAAAAATACTTCTAATTTTTTTTAATTTAACCATACTACAACTTTTAATCAGTAACATTAATTACACACTGAATGGTAAACTAATAATAATTTTTTGTATTTTGGAAAATTCTAAATTTAATATAAACTTTTTCTATAGGTGTTTTTAATGTACGTACTGTAGACTCACAAAACCCTTTACAGAATTATAAGTAAAAAAAAAAAAAAGAAAATATTTTAACTTATAACTTTTTATAAATAATTTTATCTTATAAATTCGATTTAATATGTTGTTTACAGGAATATTAAATCACATAATTTTATCATAGGTATATAAACAAATATTTTTTTTTTAATAAAAATATATATGAAAATTTTTAATCTTCAAAATACGAATATGCATATTTTAGGACAGGACAAATAATAAATTTAAAAAAAAAAAATAATAAATTAAAAAAGATAAATTATTTTTATGATATATTAACTTCAGTTTAAGAACATAATGAATTATACTAGTACTTAATATTTTTTAATAATAATATAAATATATTTTTAACATTTGTTTTTTATATGTTAAAATTACGTACCATATTTATTAGGTGCAGTTACTTCAATAAACTTTTTTTCATATTTTAAAATTTTTAAATGTAAAAGATTATTTAACACATTTTTATTTTACAATGTAATTAATTTAATTCATGATAGAAATAATAACAACAAATCTTTCTTTTATATATAGTTAATATGTGATTAATAAAACTAAGAAAAATGAAAGTCAATTCTAAGCAATTATTTGACTAAATATACTGTTCCATCAACAAACAAAAGCTGTTATTGTGTATTCATAAATTACTATTAGAATTGTATTTTTATTCAATTTAACCTTTCAATTTTTGGATTTTTTGTACAAATAAATCCCTTTTTTCCTAAATATTTATTTTAATTTATCAAACAATACTTTTTATATCTGAAATAATGCTAAAGATATATATAATTTTTTCTTAGTTATATATTTATTTTTAATTTCAAAAAATATATATACATTTTACATTATTAAAAATATAATATATTGTCATTATTCTTATTTTCCTTTCATAAAAGGCGTTTATCTTTCTTACTCTTTACACTTTTTCATTTAATATTCCTAATGAACAATACTCAGATTTTATTAGTCTATAAAATTAATAAAAAGTTTATACATTTTAAAAATGGAAATTGTGTGATATAATTTGAAAAAAATGTTTTAAAAATTTATATAAATACTCTTTTAAAAAGAAAGACTACATAGATAATATTATTATATGTTAAATATAATAAATAAAAAATAAATTTTTCATACAAATATAAAAAAAAAAAGTAATAATAGACAATATAAAAAAAAAGAATGAAAATAACAAAAAAATAATACTTATATAAAAATATTAAATTATACTAAAATGGAAAAATAAAAATGACACTTTATAAAAGAAAATGGAAAAAATGAGGGATTACAAAGAAATTTTTGTAATGATGAACATTTAAATTTATAAAAATTCTTTATTTTTTTCAATTGTAATAAACTTTATTTTTTCATTACAATTATTGTTTATGAATATTTTCATTAACAGTACAATCTAGATATTAGTATTTTTTTAAAATAATTATCCTAATTAAAATGAAAACTATTATACCTGTGATTATTTTTCTATTGAATTATAAAGAATAAAAAAAATATACATAAATACACATTCTTAATATATTTTATGGGAATGTATAATTTTTTTTTTTAAGAAAAAGGATAGATACTGAATTAATATAAGATACATTATTTATTTCAAATAAATATGAGTAAAATATATCCTCGACTTTAGAAAAGAAATATTGTCCAAGTAGAATAATAAAAAAAAAAATTTTATGTTAAACAGCATTATTATAGCAATATGAATAAATTTTTTTTCAATTGTATTTTTTTTTGTATTTGATCATAGAAAGAAAAAACAAAACTTAGTAAAGAGAATTTATAAAGAAAATATTTATTTAGATTAAATTATTATGTTTGTAGCATTGTTATTCCATGGTTTCATATATGTCAAAAATATTTCACTTATTTTGTATCTCTTCCATAAGGTTAAAAAATTCCCAAATAATATGATGTTTTTCTGATTTGACCAAATCATTTTTATTATCCAGAAAAGTTGTCCAAAAATGAAAATATTTGTGTTTTAAAATATATACAATTCACAGATTTAACGTAAACAGTAGATATTATATTGTCGACAAAAAGTTTAAATAAATGAAAATTACAACATATTTTTTAAATATTCCTTCCTATTGGTTTTATGTAGTATAGTTATGTATTTTATTTTTATTCAAAATATACATAAAATTTCATGCTTTTCATATGTATTTTTTTCATAAGTAAATCTTTTAATATTATTTCTAAAATAAATATCATTTTTTCACAAAAAATTAATATAAATATTCAATTATAGGTTTTCTATTTTGAATTACAGTTTTTTTCTATGCTTGAATGAACAATAGAATACAGTGAAAAGTTCCATCATTTATATGTTCATTTTCGGAAAAAAATTAAGGTAAATTTTTTTGTTTATTTATATATTTATTATTTTCTATAGTAGACAAAACATTTATTTTTTGTTCCATTTTTAAATTGTATTTTATTATTTTAATGTTTGATTAGAAAGTAATTTTTATATTGTATTTGAAAAAATGATACTAAAAAATAATATAATATAAAAAAATATCTAGTTCAAACTAATGAGTTAAAATTATATTAAGGAATATATTTTTCATTTCTGTATTTTATTATTATAAAAAAAATCGTATAATCCGATATTCATTTTATGCACAAAAGACGTAAATTATAATTTTAAAATGTACACAACATTTTAAACATAAAATTATAAATTATTATTGATATATGGTAAAATTCAGGAGATATAAATAGCTCCTATTATGTATGTTGTCTTATGTGTTTTTTTTATATTCATATATAATATAAAATAAATTATTCTTAGTTATTTTTTTGCATTTAACTATTTTTATATTGAAATTATCTATTTTAAAAGAGTTATAAATAAAATATTCTTTTTATAATGATAGTATTAATTTTAAGTTTTATTTTATATATAAAAAAAATTTGGGTTACATTATATATCTTACAAAGAGTTGTGCGCTTTATAGAAATGAGTACAATAATTAAATCTCAATTTTTGTTTTTGGTTTAAAAAAAAATGTTTATATTATTTTTCTGTGTTTTTTTATTTAGATATATACTTTTTTAAAATATAATTTAACATATTATATTAAGATATGCTATGAATGCTTGTTTTCTTTGTATAAATTATGATTATATTTTGGAAGACATTCATGATAAAATTAATGCTTTTAAGAATTAAATTCTAATAAATCAATGTGTTTACTCAATATTTTGTTACCTACAGTACTCACAAAATTGGTAAATTCCTTTTTAATAATATTGAACCAAGATTTACTTTAAATTACATTAATTAGCCACTTTCTTGTTTTGTACAATGGAAAATTTCAGTATTCTTTTAACTTTTATTATAGTAAAAGGAAAATAATGTGAATCATTATAAGATTATGCATCGACATCTAAAAATATAATCATAATATTTTTATTATATTTCATTTTCTAAGAAAAAAAAAATAAATTTATTTTTATGTCTTTTTGTTGAAGGACAACAGTACATTAGAAACATTAAAATGTTTCAATAATATTATATGAGAAATATATGCTAGATGAAAATTAATATGCAACATTAAAAATATTTTTTATTTTACTGCGTTAATCTTGAGGTAGAGAAAAAGGATCACTTATTATAACAATTGTTGAATATTATATTTTAAGGTGTTTTTTTTTTATTATTTTCATCTTTATTTTCTCATATAAAGATTTATTAATTACCAAAAAATATTTATAGTATTGGGCTATTTTTCTTTATAATAGTTGCACTGTAAAAAGATTCAAAAATATTTATTAAATATTTTTTTATAACAAGAAAAATATTATTTTAAAATTTTGTCTTACATATATTTAACATATTTTATTACGAAAACATAATAAATACATATATGCATATGTTTTTATGAAATAATAAATGTGATGAATTTAAATTTGTATTTTACTATTTAGTACAACTTAGAACATTTTTAAAATGTTTTTATGAAAATAAAAAGATAAAAAGTCTCTATAATTTAAAAAGGTTACATAGGAACTGTAAAAAGATGATTTTTATTGTTAAAATTATGATCCTTTAATAAATCACACTATAAAAAAGTGGAAATATGGGAAATAAATTTATTATTCATTAAAAATTGGAAGTTTATGAAAAAAAAAAAGGTTAACAATAATAAATTTATATTTAGTATATTCCTTTTTATTAATGAATGTTCTAAAATAATTCAGAAGGGTACATTAAATAAATAGTATTAAAATTTAAGTAATATTAAATGGTATAAGAGGACAGTTGAGAGATAGAAAAATATATATAAAAAACTCATGTTGTGGATTTAAAGTATTATATTGATTCATTAAAATAGTAGAAGACAAATGCATTAAATTTTCATTACATCTTAGGTTAAAAGGGTATTTTAACTTCAATAATAAGTAACACTAATATTAAATTCTATGATGTAAAATTTAATGAAAAGTAAAAATTTTAAATTAATTTAAAAATTCATAATATGTTACTAATTTTTTATGTTTAAATTAAATTCAACTCGTTTAATTTTATTTGATTATATTAAAATGAAATTTCAGTTTTTATTATTTTTTATATGTTTTAACATATTAAAAGTCAGAAGTTACTTTGTTTTTACTTGAATATAAAGTTTTTACTATTATTTTTTAAATAGCAAAAAGAAAAATAATCTAATTTTAACTAAAATTTATAATTTATTCAAGTTAACAATATTTTTTTTAATTCATTTAATTTACAATCGTTTAATCAATAATTATATTCATGTATTTAATTCCATAATTT